CCTTTACCTCTGCTTTCTTTCTTAAACATATTACTCAGTGTAATTATAATACGTGTGTATCTACCTGTTTGCTCTTTCTTCTTCACTAAAACAGGAATTTGATTAATCACTTTTGCTATTATATCTTTAGTGTCTCAAACAGTGCCTGAAACCTATTGTTAACATTGAGAAATCAATAATCAAGTTATATTTACAAGCACATCATTCATATATAATGGAACTCATGTATTAATTTCTACTTACTTCTGATGAGAAAATGGGAACAAAAGGATGAGGATATTCAGTGCAACTGCAGAACTCAGTCTTAATGCTCTGCTCCAGTCTGAAGTTTACTTCCATAAGCAAAACTAAAACATAAAATAAAGCAGTATCAGAAACCAGGGTATAGGCCAACTGTACAAGCATGAAATCTTGCCTGATCCAGGCAGTCAACACAAAGTAGTATTCCTACCAGTGGCCATGTGAGGCCACTTGTCTTTGCTGTCTTTTGGCATCCCTCTTGAGAAAAAGAAAGTCAGACTATCGTTCAGGGTGTTTCCTTAAGGACAGGGACCAGTGTCATTCTGCCAGTGCTGTGCAGAAAGCAGGACAGAGGCACTACATTGCTTTGAGCCTTCTAATGAAACAGTGATTTTATTGGTGGAACCTGGGCCTAGACTCCTAAGATGGAAACAAAGTAGCAATGCCATCAGAGTGGCATCAAAATGCCTACATGAGCTTCCTGTCGCAGAAGTGGCTTTTCTTCTGTACTCGGCCCTCTACTTGGATTCGTGGTCTTTCCTGTAGCTGGGGAAGCTGATTGACAGCTGTAGCCTGCTCTGAAAGAGCAGTCCTTTCCTAAGGAATTGACGAATTTCTGTAAGCATTTAAATGCTCTGAGAAAAATCAAACATCATCTGAAGTATCAAAAGAAACAAAAATATGGTTCTGTTATTTTGAAAGCACTTTTCTTTTGTGTTTGCCACTGAAGGAAAAAAGAACCAAATAATAATAAAAAAAAAAAAAACAGAAAGGTTTTGACAAAACTGTTTGAAACCAATGCTATCCATGTTAAAATCCTTAAACAACAAAGGCATTATTACAGAAAAATGTATTGCTCATAAGTACATGTGGTTACTTCTGTTCCATTATTTATCCATTAATAATAATGAATGTTTTCCTATACGTGCTGAATTCTTGTGCTTAGAAATATTACTTAGCAATAGAGAATCCATAGGGAAGAATGTTAGCTGTTGCATATGTCTTCTCTGAAAGCACAAAAACCACTATCACACTGTTTCACAGAAGAGGCAGTACAAAAATCAGCAGGTCAGAGCATTTGCTGAGATTGGTGATGGACTTCACCACAGGCTACCCAGGCTGCTGTGAAGTGATTGGGCATCCCTGGGAGATGAAACCCAGGACTGCTGTTTAGCTGGATGGCCACTTTGTACCCTAGTAACTTTCTTATTAGACTGCCATCCTGTTAACTGTTCTGTGGCAGATGGTCCCTAAGGGTCCTGTGCTCTGCTATGGGCCTTGCTGCTGAGTGGTGCTCACCCCTTTTATTAAGCTTGCTCCCATTTTCCTGGGCAGGTATTTATAAACATGACTCTGAGGAAGGGGTACTGTGTGTTCCAGGAAGTGTCCCAGCTAGCCTTTGCCTTTGGCATAGATTTGTGGAGCTCATCTGAGGACCACCATAGCTTCCAACTCGAAAAAGTACATTAGCAATGATTTGACAGGCAGAATTTGAGCTCCTAATAATTACCATTTCACCAAACCAACTGAGACTTGGGACTACAATTAAAAAAAATGATCTTCCATGTATAATGGCTTTCACACTGCATGATACTATTAAATAACCATTATTAGCTACTAAAACATGTACTACCCATTTTCCAGAGCCCTTTCTCTGCCAAGAAATTTAAGAGCAAGAATCATCAATGAATGAATCATCGGCATTATAATTGTTGATTGAGAACATGCAAATTGAAAATTTTCATAATGATTTAAATGTATGAGGAATTGTTACAGATGAAAGTATTACCCAGACATTAAGTTCTTCTTGTAAAGACCTGCACTCCACGTCTTTACATCTATAATTTATGGACTTCGTAAAGAAAAAAGAAGTGTCCATGGAATGGCTTTTAAAAAACCAAAGAGATTTGAGGTAGTTTCCTGGGGATTTTTCTAGGTTCTGAGAGCATAAAACTCAATAAAGTAGTTTTTCTTCCCCCAAAGCTTCCATATTTATAATAGGAGACAGAAAAATAGACCCCAAAAAACCACAGTATAGTGTGATGACTGTAATAATCAAAATGTGTACCAGGTACATGACAGCACAGGAGGGTTGGAAGTTACCAAGATGGCAGAGAAACAGTCTGCTTAAGAGTCTACGACTTCCTCAGTTGAGGTTTTCCGTTCTTTTCCTAGAAAATATCCTTCTTCCTCTCTCCAATCTAGGACGCTTGTAACATGGAGGCACAGGAAACATGCTAAGGAAAGAGGCTAGGACTGGAGAACAGGTGCTTCGCATGGAAAAAACACAAACTCTCCCTAGGCTTCTTAAGTCTTAGATGCATCAGTTAAAAACAGAAGGTTGAACAAGACAGGAAGGCTCTAGGGTCCAGACTTCACAGGTCTTTGAGCATTAGCCCTTTTATGTTGCTGCTCATGGAGGAGGGGTGTAACAGATGAGATGGTAAGACATACCTGAAGGAAGAGATTTGATAATAAAGCATGACTGACAGTTCAAACACCCTTTTTTACTGAAGTCACATAAAGTAAAATTCATAATTTTAGCCGTTTAAAGTGGGATTCAGTAGGTTTCAGTCTATTCACCATATTCTGAAGTCACCATCATTATTTTATTCTAGAACACTTTCCTCACTCCATCAAAACACCACATGTACCAGCTGGTCATTTTTAGTTTTCTTCCCCTGTTGGCCCTCTGCAACCATTAATTTGTGTTCTCTCTATATGCTTCCTGTCCTAGACATGTCATATAAACAGAACCATGCACTCTGTTTCCTTTGTATCTGACTTGTTTCTCTTCACAAAATGATACTGTAGCAGAATTTCACTGCTTCATTCCTTTTTAAGGATGAGTAATATTCCACAGATTATTTTACCATATTGTTGTTTATACAGTCATCTATTGACAGATGTTTGGTTTGTTTCTGCTTTTTTGGCATTTTTGACCATTCATAAGCAAGCTTTTGTTGCAGTTCTTGACTTTGAGAAGAACTGAAATGGAAATGCTGGGTCGTAACATGCTACTACTTTAACTGTTTGAGAGATCTTCAAACTAATTTCTAAAAATATGCCTCATGATTTTATTTCTACCAGTGTACATGAGTGACTCAATTTCTCCTCATTCTTGCCTACATTTATTCTTTACTTTAAAAAATATTGTAGCCATCCTAATGGGTGTAAAGTGGTATTTCATTGTCCTTTTTTATGAACAAATAGTGCATTATAGAAACCCCTTCACAGCAGAGAAAGGATGTGCACATCAGCTTTTCTTCTTTTGTATGTGAAACCGTAATTGAAGGAAGAGTTGCCCCTCCCCCCGAGATGTGTAGCAAACTGAATTTAATGAAATTTCAACAACAAAGCTACCTTTCACCAACTCCCATCACCCACCCCTCCCAGAGTCACCATGATCAAAGCAGATGCCTCTAAATGGTGACTGTTTTAAAGCTAGCCCAGAAATACAGCCAGGTGTCTTAGTCAGTGGTTGGCAAAGGCATCTAAACCATTTCCAGGGTTGGCTAGAAAATTATTCTTCTGGGACAAAATTCAGTTTGGGGTTTTGTTTTTTAAACCCAATGAGCATTCATTTTTCTTTCTCCATATGTGCTGTATTTTTAAAGAAAAAAAATAACTGAAAATAACTTAGGTAAGGTGTATTTTTAAAGAAAAAAAATAACTTAGGTAAGGTGATTTGTTTAGCTAAAGCAAAAAGTTAAACCTCATGAAATTTCAAATTCCACCCTAACATTTTTCTCAATAGTTATTCAGTCTTCTTAGGGCACATTCCTAGGAGAGTCTGTCATCATTCACTTTAATCTGATTGCTAGAGTGAACAGACTAAGTTATTCTTTCCTTTCCAACAGCACTTAGTTTTAAAAACTGAAGCACCTATGTCCAAATGATTGCCAGGAAAAAGCAATACGCCGTTAAGAACTACAGATTTTTTCTTTTAATGCTGTATCAGGCTGTGTATTCTAGACCATCTGATAGAAGTTTAATACATTTAGGGAAGCTGTTTCTAAGTCTGTCTCCCCTAGGTGCAGATGCCAGAGGGAGATTTGGCCTAGTGGTGTCTTGGTGTTGGAAGGAACTAAGGATCAATGAAGAAGATGGAAGAATCCCAGGGGACTGCAGTCAGTCAGTCTCTGGCAAGTGGCATGTTTCAGGCAAAGACTTGCAAGGATATTGCAACACACAGCAGAGTTTATGAAACAAAAAGGGGTTTGGGTCTTTTAACTGATACAACCTAGAGGCCAAAGACAGCCTAGTTTCAGAATGGTGAGAAATCCCAGGGTCTTTAAAACCCTAGTAATGAAGCATTCTTTTCTCACGTGGAAGCCCTGTAATTCCTAAGTGAAGTCAGAGAACTTTAGGCAGTGATGACTATGTCTTAATGGTTTAAGCACTTGGACCACAGAGGCCTGGTATTCCCTTAGTATTTCAAGAAACAGCCTGAATGTCCTCCTGCTGATCCTGGGCTTGGTAACAGGTCCTGTGATCTGCGCAGCCAGCCGCGCGTGGATTTAGAGCTGGCACGCCTGCTTACCCAGGCCTTCACACGCTCCACCTCCGCCCCCGCCCCGCCCCC